TATAAAAAATAATTTTATTAAAAATTTTAAAATAAATTTATAAGACAAGCTGCATTTTTAAAATACAATTTTCCTTATAAAACACATTTTTGATTGCACAAATAGGGACATAACAAATTAATATGCACATTATCATATAATATTCATAAAGCAAAAGATTCAGCATTCCTTGTACACATTGATCCATCAAAGTAATAACCAAACTCTTTTTTTTTTTTTTTATCAATCTAGTAATCATCATATAAAATAAACACTACAGTTAGCAAATCGAAACTCAAGTGGTCTGACTGAACCTAAGTGCACCCGTATGGATTCTGCACGTCGTGCAGGCCGTATAAACCAACCAGTGGCTTGAGGGAACTGCACAATAATCTCTTCATCATCACCCACCACATCCACGTCCCTTGCAGTTTCATGCATGTTGTAATGACCAGCCTACATAATATGATTAACTAGTTTATATAGTTAACCGAAATAAACATTTTAAGTATATGGCCTTTGTGAAGGTTATACAGCTTGTCATACCAATGAAGAATATGTTTGAACGAGTCCAGGTGCTTCAGCTCTTATCTCTTGATGAGTAACTCTCAAACGTAATTCATCACTAGGACCTACAAGAGATATCTCTTGTATAATTAGTAGAATAGTAAAGGATGCTGATAATAATAATAATAATAATAATAAGGTGGTCTAAGTTTCCAACAACTCAAGTCAGGAGGAAACATGCACCAGGAAGCATCATCCAAAGAGAAAGTAGTGTTTTTCAAACTCTTACCAGCTCGCAGTTGTGGTTGCACATGCATCACCTCATGATAACACTTGTTAAAGAACCTGCGAAGCACCCTCCTACTGAAATTTATGTATCTATGATCAGTGGCCTCAAGTTCAAGCACATTGATTCCCTGATCTGCACCATTAGGTATACCCACAGTCTCTATGGACTGTGTGGTATACATACGGCCATCTGAAAGAAAAGAAAGATATATCGACATTATGCATAGTTTCACTTTTAAACAATAGGCAATTGAAGTAAAAAATCAAAAAGAGGCATGCATATGATGTTGAAATATTTTCAAATTGCTGTGTTACCAGATTGGGAAACTGTAGGAATCTCTAGCTAATTTATTCTGTGTTAGGGAAAGTATAGCAAAATGAATATTTCATCTAGTCTCTTTCTTAGAACATTATTGTGCTCTTCTTATTCTTTACTCAATTGGTTTCTCTTCTTCTTCTTCTTGGTTCTTCTCCATGTTGAGAAAAATTGGCACGCGAAATAAATTAATTCCTGTGAACAAACACGTGAACAATAACAAATAAATGGTGTAACAGGCGGTTTAGTCGATCAATATTAATAGTTAGTGAAAAAGGTGGTGTAGCCAACCAAACAAAATAAAATGGGCGGTTTAACCAGCCACTTAAGAGGAAAAATAAATAATAAGATGACACTAAATTTTATGTGAAAAAACCCCCAAAAACTATTGAGGAAAAAAATCATGGGACAAATTTCGAAAGGTATTCTACTATGTTATAAAATTGTACATAATATACACTCAAGTATTTCTCTCTCTTGGTGTTTCCCACTCCCTAAAGATATGATCACAATCCTGATAAACTCACAATTTTATCACTCAATGTACTCTCTCTATGGAGCACACTCACACCTAAGTTTAATGCCTAGCTCTCAGCCCTTTTTTCTTTTCCACCCGAGCTCTCACTTTGCTCACTTTGGTGCTGCACTCTTTGCTTCTTGCTTGCTTATTGCCTTGACATTGCATGCTATTTATAGGGTAAAAAACCCAACCACCTAGTGCAAGTTTTCTACCTCATTAAATGAGGTCCATCTACAATGGTTGAAATAACCATTGTAAATATTCAACAATGGCTGCTGTACCTCGCAGCTTCTGTACTAGGTTGGTAGATATGGGGTTGGACTTTCATGGGCTGGAACTAGAAGCTTCTGCCCACACTCCATTCTTCCTCTTGGTACAAATTATAAACACTAGTCTTGAGTCCTAAGTATATATCCAATAAATGCAATATATCGTATTCTCTACTTAATTACCTAGCTAGTTAATTCTCCACTGGCTATTAACATACTAATCTTCTTATAGAATATAAATGCTACGGATCGCTCAACATTGAGAAGAACTTGTTCACACATAGCAAGCATATGAATTCCACAAAAATGCTGCTTACCTTGATACCAAACCCAGATGCGATCGGAAGTAGATCCCTCATTGTCAACTATGATGGTGAAACACGAATTACATTTCATGTGAGGAGCTAGTAAATCATAAAATTGGAAGATATCCACTCCCACTGTCCTTCCTGTTGTAGTACGGGCATTGAAGTTCTCGAAGAAACCAGCAGAGATCCTTACAATGTGCCATTGATTGTTAACATGAACTGCAATTGACAAACCAGCCCCTGAAACTCTGAGAAATGAAGATGTTTGTATATTATTTGGGGGAAGAATCATTTTAATGGCGCGACTTAAAGTCTTGTGTCCGTTCCCAACCATGCCAATCATCTGCAGAAACACATCTCAAACTCTTATATAAAAGAATTTCAACACATAAATATAGATTTTCAGCTCATCATACCAACAGTGTTAAGTTAATCACTTGTGTACACTCATAATTGATTGAAAAGAAAAGAAAAAAACTTAATCTAAAATTTAAAAGATAAAACTTGAAGCCTTTGTACTGATCTGATTAATAATATTATTGTTGTTTAAAATTTTTTTTTTTTAAAATAAGACTAGGAGAAAATATGGACATCCTATGTTACTATGGAAATCTATTAGTTTAAAGACACTTTTTTTTTTCTTTTTTCTGGATTGGATCAGCAAAGAAGAGCTAAAACATCACATGGATAAAACATGGCACACTCCTACAGCTTACTTTGCTCCGCTCGGTATGACTTTGCAAGCTTCCCACGGAGCCTTGAACCAATCCTCTTGAGATAGATCAGGACGTAAGAAGGGCACTTATATGAGGGTCATAAGGTGGCACACCTATGAGGATAACAAAGATAGAGAGGGTTGGTGACTGGAAACGAGAAGGAGTAAAACAAGATAAAGAAGAGCCCTCTTGAGCTGGATAAGAAATAGGACAAACAAAGAGAAAACCATCAGAAAACAACAAAAATCCCATAAAAAAGCAGATTGAAAAACAATTCTGATAGAAGTTTTCTCAAGAAAGAGCAGCACGGCCACGGAGGATTAACAAGGATTACCAGCTTTCTCTTTCTGCAAAAATGCAAATCCTTTTGCTTGACTGAAAAAGAGGAGAAAAACTACCCAGAAGATGCAGCCGGTTTCTGCTAGAGAATTTCTCAATGGCAAAGTAATGAAGGAAAACTGAATCCAGTAACGAAGGAAAACAAATGGTGCAAAAAATAAAGGGAAGGTCTTGGTCTCGGCACTGAAGTTTGAAGACGAAAGATTATGAACACGTGGCGTTCACTGATAGCCTGATTCAGAATTCGAATTATGAATATTATATTATTAATGTATAATAATATAAGGGTCTGTTTCATGACTTTTAAGCACATTCACATCACTCAGCAGTGCTGACGCAAATAGCACATTCACATAATTCAGGATTGCCATTGACATTCACATAATTCAGGATTGCCAATGCCATAGCACCATCCCATGAAAAAGAGGACAAAAAATACAAGATGCAGCTAGTTCACTCGCCTTTCTCCTGCATGCTCCAACACTCTCTCATATAAAATGGCCACGTAATAAACTTTAACTCGCAATTTAAAGTTTTCAATTAGAAAAATTCACGTGGCTATTTTACATGAAGTACTAAGAGAGTGCAGAAAAAGGAAATCCAGTCCTCCTCGTGTCTAACTTTTTGACTTTACGTTAGTTAAATTAATTGATGCTGATTATTCTCGGGTTAATTTAAACGAATATATGAAAAAATATTTAGTTCTCTAATTATATTTTTTTTATTTAAAAATTTTTAAATTTATATTTATTGTGAGAATAATAATAATTATTATTTTATTAAATGTGATATTCAAAAAATTATTTTATAAAGTAGATCATATGTAGTTTATCTTGTATAATTATTTAAACACTCTTAATTTTATTTTTATATTATTTTTTATGGTCATTTAAATAATTTTACAAGATAAAATATATACAATTTGTTATGTAAAACAGATTCACTTTTGAAACCTATCATTCTAAATTTACTAAGTTTCATTATAACATATTTTTTGAGTCATTATATTTTATTAGAATTATAGTGTCACTTTTTCAAAAAGTAAAAAATTATTTTTTTCCGTTAAATCTAACAAAATTTTGTATGATAAATTATTTTGAAATATTCTCTTAAGTTTATAAATCATTTAAAAAGAAAATAAACTTTTTAAACTAAAATTAAATTAAATTGATAATTAATAGGTTAAAAATTGAATTAAGTGAATCATTCTCCTTTACCGTCTCCTTAATTACCTCATATCACATTATCTATTCACATGCTATAATTTTTTTTTTCTTACATTAAAATCACATCTCTCTACTTATTTTTCTATACAACACATTTAAATTTTTTAGTTCATTTTATCACCATACACTTATATTATTATTCTACATTTTAAGTTTGTCATTGATAGGACTGCCATTACCTAATTCTCTCATTGGTGGATGAGACATGGAAACCTTTTTTTTTTTTTTTTTTTGACAGGAAAAGTGGTTAGCAGAAGTTAATTTAGCATTTACTCATGACAAGGTTCGATCACTGATCAAGGTGTAACTCATCAACAGTCATATTGAGTTGCAATGACTACCAATGGATCACAACAGGGAATGCAAGACATGGACACCCATAGAAGGTATCATTACCGTAGCATTGGAAGCTGTAGATACTAAGGTGGGGCTTAATACAATTCCTTTAAGGATGATGCTTTCTGGGGACAAATCTTTTGGTTTCGTGGCACCGGTGGTGATACTGCCCATTGCCATTAATAAAAACCTCATAAGATGTTTAGTTTATTAAATAAAAAAAATTCTAGCAACAAAAAGATTAATATATTCGTAAAAAGAAAAAAGAAGAGCAGATTGTAAATAAACATTTTCTAAACAAAAGTTAATCAGCTAATCTGCAATCTCTCCTTCCTCCAACTCTCCAGGAAAGCAATCTTCTTTCGGATTTGGAAGTTTTCCTTTTTCTTGTGTTTCTGGTTCCTTGCCAAATTCAGCTCTCAAAGGAAGAAAATCATCATCATTTATTTCTGCCATGATATCTGAGAATATATCTAATAAACCTTGATCAAAATCAATTTTCATGTCTTCTAAATCCATTGATTCCTTGGCATGAGGGCTGGACTGCAAACTTTTACCTGCTCCGGTGCTCCCCAACAAAGCCTTTGCTGAGTTATTTGATGATTTCTCAAACCTATTTTGACCGTGGATTTGGTGTTTTGGACTTGAATTCACATGCTTTAAGATATCAAATACTTGAGGGTCGCTGTTGTTGTCTTCTTTAATTTCCTCCTCACGAAAGGTAACACCTTTTGGGCTTCCGTTATCATTGCTGCCAGAATCCTTGAGCTCTGGTCTATTAACACTCTGTTTTTCTCTAACAACTTCAAAATCAAAGCTATGTGAAGGGAGAAAAACATGAATTACAGGATATTCCACGATAACAATATTGGCCAACTGTTTCCTTATTGGGGCCTTCATATCTAATTCACGGAAAGGTGACTTCGGTCCCTGCAGTGGCACACACACAGAGAATCAGAGATGTCGTGTAAACAGAAAAGAAAGGAAAAATTCAATACATTATCATTGACAAGCATCAACCTAGAGAATTTTCAAAGATCGGTAAATTTAGAAACATGATGATGTGGTAACCAAAATTCAGTAAATCAATCATGATTATTGGATAACCAAAAGCAAAATGCTGGCTTTAAGACAATAATGACCATATATCCTCCAAATAAATAACAAAACCGTAAGAGTGACACAGAATAATCTAAATAAAAATCTTGCAGAGTAAACCTAAATGGAGATCCAAAGTGGTAAAATCTAGGAGCATAACTAAAAAGTAGTAAACACACATAATAAAAAAGTTTCAGATATAATTATACAAGGTAATGGACATCTGAAATCAAGATTTTGTTTTCTCTACTTACTTTGGGTCTAAATGCTTTTCTGA